TATAACAAATCTGCTGGCGACTGGCGGCTTTCCGTCTACTATCTCTTTAATTGTCCTGTCTGCTTGCTGCAACGAAACGTGTGAATCAGAGATTACACTTCGGTTCTCCTTACTTTTTTACCCAGTGCTGTTTAATATGTCTGCATGTCTCTGTACATGTGATTTAAATTTAACTTTATATACATGGATGTAAGCTAACTTTCTGTATGTAACTTAAATACAACTGTGCTAAGCCTCAAATATTTCTAAATTGGTATGTATACTTATATGATAAAATTTTTATTTTAAATTGATACATATTTTTAAATGATCATAAGGTTATAAAGATCTCTTTTGGATTACCTAACAAAGTAAAGTTAAATCAGTTATAAACTAAACTTGACATTATTCCCTCCCATACTGTGTGACCTTCACTACTGTCAGTTTTTAAGGGTTAAGCTTCTATTACAAAAAGGGATTTTTTTCTACTTTGTCCTTCACAGGCATAAATCTAACCTACTAAGTTAAAACCAGTTACGGTCAGGCTGGAGGGCTCTGAGCAAAACATCCCTCCACAGCCTCTCAGCTTGGATTCAGTTCTCCAGACAGATCCTGCACTAATGTCAGTGTGCCATGCTAAGTACCAATTAATTAATTACAGGGATAAAGCTTTACCTAGCCACCTCTGTGCTTAAAGCAAGTAACTAAAGACAAATTTTATCTTCTGGGATATACTAAATAGACAGCCCTCAAATGCTCAGAGATTTGGAGAATATGGCATTTAAAATGTTTTATTAAAAAGCTGCTGGCATCACCCCATTTCCTCCAAAAGACTGGTGGACTCTGAAGAAACTCCACTCATCAAAGTGGTAACCCTGGCCACTTGGGCAAACCTGCCTTCCTTCTCAGCTTCTGCAAAGAACTCTGGAAAGAGGACAGTGGAATCGACTTCACTACATAGTCTGCACACAGGTGCAAAGGACCTTTTAAAAGAAAAACCCCACCCACTTCTGCTGTCTTCCCGCTGTTCCCCTGAAGGGGAGACAGGACTTTTCCTGTCTCTGCGTCTCTTTACCGCTTCCCTTCCCTTCCCCCGCTTCCCTTCTAATACAACTTCTCATTTAAGCTTTGTCTGCCTGTCATGGTTGTCCCTCACCCACCACGGAACCCACCAAGGTCCCTCACGTGCTTCATTTTAACAGTCTGAGTGTGGGAAAGCTTGCCTGTCAGTGCTGGCAGTCTGTCTCCCGACATCTTTCCTCACCTCGCCCTCCGGGACACCACAGGCTTCTCAGGTCCCACCTCTCCCTGGCCTATGGCCTACTGATTGCTGCTTCCCAAGTTGTTATCCAGCTCTCTGCCAAAGCCACTCACAAGGGAGACTAAAGTGATGACCCTCATTCCACTGAGACAACTCTTCAAACCACCAGTGATGTACACCAGGCAAAACTCGGGTCGTGGGCATGGTGGTATATGCTTGTAACCCTAGCACCGAGGGGCAGAGGCAGGAAGACCAGAGCAAGTTCCAGGCTAACCAGGGCTATATAGCAAGACCACAGATCAAAAAAAAAAAAAAAAAAAAAAAAAAAAAAAGAACTCTGATGGGAGATGTCATTCTGTAAATCTGTTTCTCATACTGGTTAATGAATAAAGCACTGTTGGCCAATAGGAAAGCAAGATGGGTGGGATTAGGAGACAAGGAGGATTGGAAGAAGTAGTAGGGAGGAGTCAAGATGGAGAGTCTGGAGAGAACAGAACCGCCGTTCCTCCGCTCTCGGTAAGACCATGTGGAAATACATAGAAATGGGTTAATACTTAAGACAGAGCTAGCCGATAAGAAACTAGTACCTGGCCAACAGCATTATATCAAAATACAGAGTCTCTGTGAGTTAATTGGGGCTGGCGCGGTGGCGGGACAAGACCAGGCGGAGGGTGGAAAAACTGTACTCCTTACATATGGCGCCCAAAGAGAATCTGGATACAGCATTATATTGTCTTTGTATTGTTTGACTGCTGAGGAAACAACAACTGTTAAAACAAATGCTGCGGCGGCGGGTCAAGACCGGCGGCGGGCGGAAAAACCTTAGTCCTTACAGAACTCAGACCAAAACAAGGGTCACATCACTTCTCTATCTGATCCTTGATGCATCTGTGGGGCTGACCGCTTTCCCACTGGTCAAAGCAACCAGGGTGTGGTTCCTATAACCCCAGCACTTGGGAGGTAGAATAATGTCACTGCAAGTTCAAGGCTAGACAGAAATATACAGTGAGATACAATCTCAAAAACACAAAACAAAACTAACAACAAAAAACAGTGAGCACATGTAATATACATAGTTGAAAGAGCAAGAGCAATACAAAAAAATTAAGGGTCTGTACATCTGGCTTGCAGAACAGAATGTTACTGCCACTTGCTTTTTTTTTTTTTTTTTTTAAGTTTTTCAAGACAGGGTTTCTCTGTGGCCTTGGAAGCTGTCCTGCAACTAGACCAGGCTGGCCTCAAACTCACAGAGATCCTCCTGCCACTGCCTCCTGAATGCTGGGACTAAAGGTGTGCACCACCACCACCCAGCTGCCCCTTGCTTTTGTAAATAAAGTTTTACTCACACCAGTTGTGTTTGCTGCCTGTCAGGACTCTGCATGGCCCTTCTGCCTTTGAAGGCTGAGATGTACCGGCCAGGATAGACGGGGTGGCTGTCAAACCACATACAAATTGTATTTGGCTAATTTGGCTAACTGTGAACTTATTTCTGGTGAGAGACAGCTGGCGGTGACACAGCTCAGGCTTCTTTGTCACCGAGTGTATTTCTGCCCTCTTCCCTGAATGCAGCAGGCCTGTCTGTGCTGCCTCTCAGTTCCCTGTGCTGATAAGTTAGACCAGTCTGTCCACTGCTAACTCATTCAAAAGGGCTCAGCAGGTAAGAGCTTTTCCATCAGAAAAGGGTTCAGTCCCCAGCACTCCCACCTGGCATCTTACAGCCTCCTTGTAACTGCAGCTCCAGGGCTCACAGGCCATGCCCACCTCCCTTTGCTGCTGGCAGCACTATAACTTCCTGGGTTTGGGTCCCATTCTGTGTGTGGCTTGCTAGGCTTCCTAAGAGCTCTTTCTCCCTTGGTCCTTCTGTCTCGGAGCTATTCTCCTGTTGCTATCTCAGTCTTTGTGGAGTCTCACTGTGTAGCCTTGGCTGTTCTGCAACTCCCTTTGTAGGCTAGACTGGCCTTGAACTCTCAGAGATTTTGCTGTCTCTGCCTCCTGAGTCTGAGTGCTGGGACTAAAGCCACATGCCCAGTTTTGCTATCTTATTCTTATGCTGAAGACAGTCATTGAGATCCAGTGTCTCTAGGTTAGTATGTGGAGATCTTTGCTACAAAAGATGATGTGTGATAGCCTTGAACAGAAGGCCCTGGAATAACTGGAATTGTTTATGGACTCTGCTCAGGACACATGGGGCTGGGGAGACCGGCTGCTCTTGCAGATGACTGTGGTTTGGTCCCCCATGGCTGATCACAACCATCTGTAACTCCAGTTCTAGGGGATTTGACACCTTCTGGCTTCCGTGCACAACACACATGCGTGTGATGCACAAACAAACATGCAACCAAAATAACAATACACATAAAATCAAATTGGGGGGGGGAGAAAGAAATACTAACTCTGTGGATCCCAAACCATGGAACCCATACAAGGCTGGCTTACGTTACAAATAAGAGAGTCCTCCCACAGCCTCACTTGGGCTGTTTCAGACCTTTGAGCTCCAGCCTGGCTATATGTGGTCCCACCATGGGTAGGCACCAGGTTTAGACACTCCCAATTTGAACTCTGTGAGGTGGCAGTCAAACGTCAAGTTTCCTCCTTACAGTGACAGCCTCAAATTAAGTGCTTTCTTTACAAGTTGATAGAGAAGTAACTAAGACACTGTGTGTGTGTGTGTGTGTGTGTGTGTGTGTGTGTGTGTGTGTGTATGGTTTAGTAGTAGTTTTTTTTTTTTTTTTTTTTTTTTTTTTTAAGAAAGCAAACTCCTTTGGAAATTTCCTTCCTTCCTTCCCCCCTCCTTTCCTTCCTCCTCAACCCCCAAGGATTCTGCTTTGTGCCCAGGAAAGTACTGAACTTCTGGACTCAAGTCATTGATCCCCTTGTCTCAGTGTCTTGAGTAGCTGGTACCAGAGGCATGTGTATCATGCTCATCTCAGAACTCTTATTTATTACATAATATGTGCTTAAGAATATGTCCAAGGGTATTCACCATCATCTTATTTGTAATGGCAAAGGACTGGAATAACGTAAAAACAATTGTTGGAGAACACATCAGGACATAGCTGCTCAGTGGAGCGGACTGTGACCAAGAGAAAACACACCCAGAGCTCACACCAGGTGGACACCAGGGTCATGCACCTCATTCAGTGTCTCTGACTCCTCCTCCGTCTTCTTTTTGAGACAAGGTCTCTCTATGTAGCCCTGGCTATTCTGGAACTCACTATATAGACTATGCTGGCTGGCCTCAGACTCATTGAGCTCTGTCTGCTTCTGCCTCCTGAGTGTTGGGATTACAAGTGTAGGCCGCTGTGCTAGGCCTTGTTCTTGTTTTGTCTGGCTAAGACTTTGAAATCACTTTTCCTTCCTCCACTTTCTTGCTTAGTGTCATCTCAAACAATCCCCCCAAAGTGAGCTCTTTAGAGAAAGTTTCTTGAGAATTTCATTGTAGCCATCACTGGCTCTTCTAGAGAAGCAGACGTGTACCCAGAATCTACTTGCAGAGAAGTAGATCCTATCCTAAGGAGCCTTGGGGGGTAGGTAGATACAGCCTGTGACACTGACCTCTGACCTTCAGGGCTATATGATATATGGCATGGGACAGGCTGGCTCTGTGCAAAGGAGCTGAGGTACACAGGCCTAGGAGATTGAAAGGGCAGAAAACATTCAACACACCAACTCAGTCACGTCAGCGCACTACAGCCATACTGTTCCCGCAGCCTTTGGTACCCTACCCTGCTGGGAGTAGTCAGGCTGGCAGCTCTCCTACCTGCAGCAGAGTCATCCTGTGAGGGGTTGCCTGAAAGGCTGGATCCCAGGTCTAACAGCCTCCAGGTGTCCTGGAGGGAACTGCTGGCCAACGAAGATGACCTGTGGGTATGACGGTCACTTTCCTCGGGGACTTCTTGAGCCTGTGGTGGTAGCCGTGGAGACCTGTTTTCTTTCTGAGAAACTGACTTCCAAGTTTCTGTGGGGACTCTGGGTTGTTTCTGTGAAAGTTAAAAGGACAGTTATCTTTGATACTGCAGGATAAGGGGACCAGGACTCTTTTCAAGATGGGATGGGCCCCTGGAAAGCAGCTGAGTGCTCTGGGCACAGGACACCAGCAATGCTGACTGACTGCCCGGAGCCCCAAGAGAGTCCAGGGTACAGGTGCAGAGACAGGGCCTTGAAAACCGCGGTTCCTCCCAGGGCGTGAAGGCCACTGTGGCGTGAGCTGCACACGCAGTGTTTTTGTGTCTGCGTTCCTCCACATGCCCTGACACTTTAAAGAGAAGCGCCCAGTGGCGAACCCATGACATCAGAGCAGACTTCAGAGTGGCATGACCTTTCCTAAGGTCAAGTTCCCACAATTTTCACACTCAAGTATGCGTGAACCTGGTTATACCCCTGCACCCACAGGACCCTACGGCCACACTCCAGCTCCCATTTGCATCCCCAGAAACCACTGCACCCCAGCACCTGGCTGTACCTGAGCAGGCCTTGGTGCCACGCCTGCCTTGTAGCCTCCCGGGGTGTTGTTTTTGCTGACCACTTGGGCAGGATGGGGTTGTTTTTTCCCTGCATATTCAGGAACACATTTTCTCTTGGTGTGCCTAGGGTCCTGTCATGAAAAGTCAAAAGAAATTCAGGAACTGATATCGCTGGTAAATGAGCTTTCCCCCAAGATTACGATCCTGAGACAGACGACTCTTCATTTGGTGAAAACCCTTAAAGGAAGGGCATGCTTGTTTTACTACATAGAACAAATTCAACCAGCTTCCTCTATTTGGCCTAAGTGCTTCTCAGAACCTTGGGGAGGAGGGGAGGAAGGAAGCTGTGAATTCCAAGCAGAAGTCTCTTCCCCAAGAGCAGGGCATCCTGCATGGCCCTGACTTAAGTAGAGCCCAGCCCAAGGCAGCACCTTGAGGGCTGGTCCCTAACTAGGTCATTCTGCCCATCACACAGTCTGAACGCTTGAAGGTTCCATCCATGCTCTGCAGAGAAGTCAATGGGAAAGGAGGTGGGGGACATCAACGAGACCCACATAAGGGGCAGGAAAGGAGTCATGGAAGAAAACAGGAAGGAAAAGGCAGCTGGGCTTGTGTAGAACTCAGAGCAGCAGGTGGGAGAGAGTGCAGACCTGGCTGGCTATCCTCTAGTGGACACAGGGGTGAGCACACACAACACACAGACTTTTGGGCTCAACTTAGAGCCCTTTGGTTGCTAGTGGTTATGAGCTCCATCAGTTCACTGACCTCTGGCTTTCTTCCTCTGCCTGTTTTTACCCTTGTTTTTCTTGCTTGTGTTTTGAGATAAGAGTCTGTCCTGAAACTCACTTTGTGGGCCAGGCTGGCCTCGACTCCCGAGTGCTGGGATTACAGGTGTGTGCCACCAGGCCCAGCATGTAATTCTTTTCAGTATGTTCTTTCTATTTCTTAACTCAGTAGGTAACATTTACTACTACAAATAAACAGGCAGTGGCAGTGCACGCTGTTAATCCCAGCACTTGGGAGGTAGAGGTAGGTGGATCTCTGTGAGTTACAGGCCAGCCTGGCCTACAAAGTGAGTTTCCTGACAGCTAGCACTATTACAAAGAGAAACTCTGTCTCAAACAAAACAAACAACAAGAAAGAGGCCGGGAGTCCTTTTATTCACTTACATATATGCCTTTTGCTTTTATGAGTATACTATTTTAGTCCTTTTATTCACTTACATATATGCCTTTTGCTTTTATGAGTATACTATTTTGCTTGTATACATGCCTGTGTAGCATGTGCATGTCTGATGCCCACAGAGGCCAGAAGAGGGACATGGGATCCCCTGTGACCGGAGTATAGGTGGTTGTGAGCTACCATGTGGGTGTTGGGAATCAAAACTAAGTCTTCTGGAAAAGCAGCCACTGCTCATAACCACCAAGCCATCTCTCTAGCTGTTTGTTTTTGTTTGTTTGTTTGGCTGGCTGGTTTTTTGTTTTCTTCTTCATTTTAAGGCAGGGCTGCACTATGTAGCCCAAGTTGGCTTTAAACTTGCCACCCTTTTGCCCCAGTCTCCAGAGCTGCTAAGAACCACCATGCCCAGGTTCCTTTCTGGAGTTTTTTGGTTTTTCAAGACAGGGTTTCACTGTGTAGCTTCGGAGTTTGTCCTGGTACTAGCTCTGTAGACTCACATAGACTTGCCTGCCTCTGCCTCCCAAGCACAGGAACTAAAGGTATGTGCCACCACCTTCCGGCTTTTCTGAGGTTTTAAATTATTTCAGTAACTGTAATAAACAAATGTGGTTTAGAAGAAATTAACAGTTTAATAAAAGTATTTACTATACTAAGAAGTCAGACAACAGGCATATTTTGTTGCAATGGGCAGAAGGCTTGTTTACTTGGTGCGGGCAAGGTTTCTTTAGACAACATAGGTTTGAGAAGTTTGAGAGATGACTAGGGCAAGTGACTGAAAATTCCCAACCTGTTAAGAGTGATTCCAGAGATTCAAGATCGTCTCTCCTAGGTCAGGACAGTGAGTGTGGGCCATGGAGGGTCTGGAGGGTGCGCCACAGATGCCCCAGTTTCCAGCGGTGGCGGAGCAGCACCCTTCCACCCTGAATGGAGCCTCCGTTCGGGGTCAGCCATCCTCCTCAATGCTCCTTTTATAGTTTCCTCCATGGGCTACTGGGGAAACACCTGGGCCTGCCCTACTTTCTTCGGCCAGTCCTGCTCAGTTTCTTCTCTGGCCAAGCAACTGACCTCCATGTGCCTGGAGTCCCCTCCAGGCCTATTTCCTGGGTGGCCTCACCCTGTCTTTGACTCTGCTCTTCCCCTGGTCTGCGTGTGTGGCCTCAGGCTGGCCACAGGTGTCAGAGGAGAAAGGTTACCTCCAACTTGTTCCCTGGCCCTCTCTTCCCCACCAGACACTCAGGCCTAAACTTTGATGTTTTGTCTTGATGTTCTGGTATTCTTTTTTCACATTTTAGCTCTGCCTTTGCCCTAAGCTTATTGCTTCCTGGCCCAAAGCTGGCTGTTCCTACCTGGCTGGGAATAAATTTAGAACTTACATCACCCCAGGGCAAAACATCTCTACATGGCTTTCCTTTAACTGATTTTAAGTAAACTGAAAAGGCAAATTCCTTCTGGGAGAATATATTTGCAGTTATTCAACAAATATGAATCAGTACTGAGATTAACAAAAAAAAAAATCAAACAAACAAGAAAAGATTACCATAGCCTTAAAGAAGCTGATCTGTTAGTGGCTTCAAAGCTACACTCCGGGCTGAGTGTTGGTGGCTCATGCCTTTAGTTCCAGCACTCGGGAGGCAGAGGCAGGTGGATCTCTGTGTGTTCAAGACCAGCCTGGTCTACAAGAGCGAGTTCCAGGACAACCTCCAAAGCCACAGAGAAACAGAGAAACCCTGTTTCGAAAAACCAAAACCAAAAAAAAAAAAGCTACACTCAGTTGGTCCTGAAGGTGACTTGTAATCCTAGCATAGCATTTTAGCCCAGGCAGGAGGATTCCAAGACTGTCTCAAAAATCAAACAAGCCCTGCTATGTACACATATAGCTCCAAGACTCCAAGACACAGGTTTGCTATGTTTCATCAGTCAGTGGTAGAAATTGCTAGCAGTATTGAAGCTTGTGGGGTGAACATTCCCGTGGCAGAGACATGAGACCTCAGCTCTCAGTGAGGCAGATGCCCCCACTCCCCAACCTCAGCTAAAGGTCTGAGTGAGCAGTGCCAGACACTGGACTACCCAAGGATGTATATCTTATAAGTCATGAAGCTGTTCTGGATAAAACTTGAGGACAGAACTTTTTTCTTCCTTCCTTCCTTCCTTTCTTTTTTCTTTTTTTTTTTTTTTTTGGAGACAGTGTCTTACTATGTAGCCTTGAGTGGAACTCACCAGGCTAGCCTCAAACTCACAGAGATCTGACTGCTTCTGCTTCCTAAATGCTGGGATCAAAGGTGTGTGCCATCACACCAGGAGAAGGCACTTCTTAGCTTGATGGAAAGTCTACATCAGGTCAAAGGCATTAAATGGCTGGAGTTGACCTTTTAATGTTAGGAATGGAACTCAAGGCTTCATGAACATAACACACTAAGTATGTGCTCTACAACCGAGCCACACCCCAATTCTTGACCATAAACACTATGCCTGGCTAAAAGAAAATTTAAAAAGTGGTAGAGCAGGCCTTTAATCCCAGCACTTGGGAGGTAAACACAGACAGATCTCTGTGATGCCAGCCCTGGTCTAAATTGTTCCAGACCTTTCAAAGCTACAGAGTAACATTGCCTCAGGACAAAAAAAAAAAAAAGACCTACAAAAATGTCTTAAAGATTTGTTTTTATTTATGTGTCTGTAGGTGTGTATGCCTTATGTGTATGGGTGCCTGCAGGAGCCAAAAGAGGGAACTGGATCCTCTGCTGGGTAGTTTTCTGTCAATTTTACACAAGTCGAGTCAGGTGGGAAGAGGGAGAGCCACTGAGAGACTGCCTCCATTAGACTGCCTTGTAGAAATGTCTGGGCTTTTTTTTTTTTTTTTTTTGATTAATGATTGCTATGGAGGGCCTAGTCCACTGTAGATAGTACTACCTCTGACAGCAGGTTGGGGAACAAGCTAAATAATCGACATTTCTCCATAGCTGCTGCTGCTTATTGTTGTTGCTGTCTTGCTGTTGTTTCTGGGGACAGGGTTTCTCTGTGTAGCCCTGGCTGTCCTGGAACTCGCTCTGTAGACCAGGGTGGCCTCAGACTCACAGAGATCCACCTGCCTCTGCCTCCCCAGTGCTGGGATCAAAGGCATGCTCCACCAATACCAGCTTCCTGCTTCGGTTTCTGTCCCCTGGTTTCTTCCTCTCTTGAAAGGCTGTGATTGAGGCACGAAGGCCAAACAACCTCTCTCTCCCCAACCTGGTTTTGGTCATGTTTTATCACAGTAATAGAAAGCAAACTAACTGACAGAAATCAGTACCAGAAGAGTGCGTATTGCAGTGACAGACCTAGCCATGTTGCTTTGAGAAGACTGTGGAAGGGGTTTGGAACTTTGGGCTGGAAAAGCCATTGAGTTCTCGGAGCTGGAGCTGTTGTGAGAACTTGGAGGGTCAGAATGCTAAGAGTGATGACAGAGCTTTGGGTTTCGGAGTTTCAGAGGGAAGTCTAAGAGTCCTTCAAAGACTATCAGGCACATTCATGCAGTACTTTGAATTAAGAACCTCTGGTTTAGTCGGGCAGTGGTGGCACACGCCTTTGATTCCAGCACTCGGGTGGCTGAGGCAGGAGGATCTCTGTGAGTTAGAGACCAGCCTGCTCTACAAGAGCTAGTTCCAGGGCAGGCTCCAAAGCCACAGAGAAGCCCTGTCTCGGAAAAATAAAACAAAATAAAAAACCAAAACCCCAACCAACCAACCAACCAACCAACCAACCAACCAACCAACCAGCCAACCAAACAATGAACCAGGGGACCTCTGGTTTTTCTTTGGCTGGGGATATAGGATCAGCTGTGACTAAGAAGAGATCAGCATCTCGGAGGTGAAACCTTTGCTTTGTTTGGAAAACCAGTGCTGGTTAGCTAAGGCTGAAAAATCAGCTGTAATGAAGACACCAGTATCGGGCAGTGGAGGCACTTGGGAGGCAGAGGCAGGGGGATCTCTGTGAATTCAAGGCCAGTGTGGTCTACAGAGCAAGTTCTAGGACAGTCTCCAAAGCTACAGAGAGAAACCTGGTCTCAAAAAAACAGAGATGTGGTGTTATCTTGCTTGTACAAATAAAGCCTGCCTGAAGATCAGAGAATGGAGCTAACCACAGAGGTCTGGAGTTCTGTATAGACAGACAGGAAGTGAGATAGCTAGTCAGAAACAGGATATAAGCAGGGAGAAATAAGAACCCGCTCTCTTGTTTGCTGAGACACTAAGGAGGTAGGGCGTGGCGGTGGTTTGTTCCTTCTCTCTGATCTCTCAGCACTTTCCTCTATATCGGACTCTGGGTTTTTATCACTTAGACCAACTAAGAACAAGAGAGAGAGAGAGAGAGAGAGAGAGAGAGAGAGAGAGAGAGAGAGAGAGAGAGAGAGGGCACAGCATAGTAAGTTAGGAGAAATCTTCTGGGAAGTGTTTCCTTAGGGCTAGCACACAGAAGCTGTGGCTCAGTGGGCCGAGGCTGCCTTTTAAGCTGGCAGCTAAACTTGGTAGTGTATAAAAATCTCCCATGTTACTGGTGAGTAGACAAGGCCTGACCCTTGTCTCCTGCAGTGAAAATCTCAGGACTGAAACCATCGTAAGGAGCAGCTGAGGCTTGACTGCAAGAGACAGGGTCAGAGTCCCTAAAGAGAGGCCAGGATTGGGGGAAGATTGAAGGGAGCAGGCAAAAGTACTTACTGCCTAAGCACTGCCATTTTGACTCCAGACTCCATTTTACATGTGGGGTGAAACAAAGTTCAGGGTCCCAAGCCCTAGGGGAGCTGAGAACTCGCCAATGGCTGATCAACTTCCTCCTTAAACCATAGAAATAATCGCTATGCATCTTTAGTTCTGTAGAAACATTATGGCTGTTCCTAACCACAGAAGGAACAAATCAACCTGATTGGTTGGACTGCAAGGCTTCATTGTATGCTGTGACAATGGGGGAACTCATAGGGAAAGCCCCTAATTTTTGACTCCTGATTGGTGAAAAATGTAGCTGTAACTTGGCAGAAATGTTTGTAATTTTTATGCTTATAAACCCCACTTCTGTCCCTGACCAGGGCTGCCAGAAGAAACAGGGCTCCCAAGTCCTTGTCCTGCAGCCCTGATCGATCAGTGACCCTCTTATGTGGCGACTTATTAAAATCTTTGGAATCTGTAAGTGCTGCCTCCTTCCTCTTGGTGCATAATGGACTAGATGTAACATGACTACCAAGGATAGCGGCAGGTGTGGAATGGAGCAAACCTGAGCCTAAGGGACAAGCTAGGTGTGCTGTAGATAAATGGCAGCTGGGGACGTATGATTTCCCAAGCCTTTTGCAGCCCATAAGATTGTGAATGAATCCCAGACACTGGACACTAAATTATTTACACTGTTGGAATTTGGTTTTGCTTTAATTTGATTGCCAATGCCCCAGGTTCTTCATTCCTGGAGTTAAAAAAAAAAATTATTTTACAGGATCCCATAGTTGACAGACTTTGATTTTTGAAAGGAATGTTTGAACTTGTAGTGTTTAAAATTTTCCTGCCTCTGCCTCCTGAGTGATGGGATTAAAGGCATTCTCTACCATGTCCAACTAAAGTGTTTAAATTTTTAAACACTGAGATATTTAAATGTGGGCATGAATATTATATTGTGATATTGATATTACCGTGAGCAGAGCTTGGGAGCACAGAGCGCAACTTCCTAGCCTAGTCCTAACCCATATCCCTAACTCTGAGAAAGCTGCACAGAGCAGCAGGAGGAACCCATTTACTAACAGCCTCTAAACAAGAAAGAAAAGGCTGTGGCTTAATATTGATGCATTGTTGTGTCGAGTTGACAAGGGGTCGATTGTGGTTAGTTTTTTGTCAACTTGACACATGGCGGTCATCTGGCAAGAGGGAGTCTCAGCTGAGAAAGCGTCTGCTTCCATGGCCCGTAGGCCACTCTGCAGGGGCATTTTCTCTATTAATAACTGATGTGGGAAGGTCGTGCCCATCGGACTGTGGGTGGTACCACCCTGGGGCACGTGGTCCTGGACTGTTCGAGAAAGCAAGCTGATGGCTGGAGAGATGGCTCGGCAGTCAAGAACACTGGGTGCTTTTCCAGAGGACCAGGTTTGATTCCCAGAACCTACATGGTGGCTAACAACCATCTGTTACCCCGGTCCCAAGGGATCTAATGTCTCTTCATAACCTCCACGGGTACCAGGCACCCACTTAGGGTACAGACATGCAAGCAAAACACCAAAAAACACCAATACATATAGAATACAGATAAGTAAATTACAAAAACACACACCCAAAAACCAACTAGCTGAGCAAGTCACGAGAAGCAAGCCAGTAAGCAATATTCCTGCATGGCCTGTGCTTTAGTTTCTGCCTCTGGGTCCCTGCCTTGACTTCCCTCTGTGATGGGATGTGATTGGGTAAGCCAATGAAACCCTTTCCTCCCCAAGTTGCCTTGGCTCTGGTGCTTTGTCACAGCAATAGAAAGCAAACTAAGACAGATCCCTGGAGCTACAGTTATCCTGGAGGCAATAAGCTGCCTGACAATGGTTCTGGGAGACAAACGTAGGTGCCTGGAAGAAGAACAAGTATTCTTAACTACCAGTCATCCCTCCAGACCCAAGACATTTCTGTAAAGATACAAATTTAGAACTTAATATTGGCAAAGATTAAAAATAGAATGTCATCTGGTAGTACACACCTTTAATCCCAGCACTCAGAATGCAGAGGCAGGCAGATCTCTGAGTTTGAGGCCACTCTGGTCTAGAGACTGAGTTACAGGACAGTTAGGGCTACACAGAGAAAGCCTGTCTTGAAAAACAAAGTAAAAATATAATACGCATATGGTAAAGCTATAGTAGATCATATGTACAGTTACTTAAAACCGCAAACAAATCCAGGAGCAGGCTTGGTAGGGCACTTGTGTAGTTTCTGCACTCAGGAGGCTGAGCAGGAGGACCCAGGGTTCAAGCTAGCCTGGGCTGCATAGTGAGACTCTGTCTCCACAAGCCAAAACAAATACAAAGCAAAGGGGGAGGAGGAGAGTGATGCTACCAGCACCATGGTGGGTTCCGGAAAGAAGAAGCTTTTCCTGCTGTTTGTCTAATGAAAACCCATACTTCACACTCAGGAAAATGTTAACAGGTTTCTTAGGTGAAGAAGTTACCTGAGTTGAGTGAGGCTGCAACTGTGCCAAAGGTAGGCCACGGTCTAAAGATGTCTCAGGCCTCTCACGGGGGTCCCGGGACTCAGAGGTGGGAGGAAGTGGACAAGGAGTCAGTGTCCCTGGAAATGGGAGCAGGCAAGGGTTGGTTCCCTGTGTACATCATACAGGATTTCTTGAACATAAAGAACAGCAAACTACTTTTCAAAACCAAAGCAACCTTTACTCTAGAGAACTTGGGAGCAGAGGTCACGTGTGAATTGTGACACACCATTCCCTAGCAGAGCTCAGGGACACAGAGCACAACTTCCCAGCCTAACCCTAACTCCGGAACACTAACCTTCAGACAGCTGCACAGAGCAGCCGAAGGAAGGTATTTACTAACAGTCACTCAGACAGGCCTCTGGGCCGTTAGTTCATCAAAGTACACATCTGCTTGTACAGGGGTCTGCGGACAGGAGTTTCTGTCTAGCCAAGTCCTGCCACCTTTTAGTCCCAAATAAACACAGAGGCTTATATTAATTATAAACTGTTTGGCTAATGGCTCAGACTGCTTATTGTCTAGCTCTCTCTTAATGATTAACTCATTCCTATTAATCTGTGTATCTCCACATGGTCTTGGCTTACCAGTGATGCCTGGATCTCTTGATCCCTTGGCAGCTAAACGGTGCCTTCCCACAATCCTCCTAGTCTGGTAGTCCTGCTTATATCTCCTGCCTGTCCATTGGCTGAAACAGCTTTATTCATCGACCAATAAGAAAAACATATTTGCAGCATATGGGAGGACATCCCCCATCACAGGACAGACAGACAGACAGACAGACAGACAGCATGTGCACGTATGTCCCTGCTGCTGTGGATGCTAAAGATGAGGCCAGCCTGGACAACACAGCAAAGCCTCTTTTAAAAAGGGAGCGGGGAAGCTGGAGAGATATAGCTGTTTGGAGCACTTGTTGCTCTTAAAAAGGACCTGTGTTCAGTTCTCAGCACCCACATAGTGGCTTGCAACCATGTATAACTCTAAAATTTTGGTGTATCCAACACCCTCTTTTGGCCTCCTCAGGTACCAGGCATGAATATGGTACACAGATACACATGCAACTTAAACATTCATACACATAAAATAAAAAACCTCAAAAAGAGGGAAAATTTATGTGCACAAACTTAAAGGTATAATAACCGATTCTGTGTTCTTTCGCTGAGGAATGATATTGAGATCAGATGAATAATTTGATTTATTCTTTTAACTTACTTGCTTTTTTAAGTTAACCTAAATATCTTGGAGCTTTTTTGTTTTGAAACAGGACTTGCTCTGTTGCCAGGGTGGCCCAGAGATATCCGTCTCCTGTCTTAGTCTCCCACACTCAGTCTGACATAAAGATGGTGATGATAACACGAGGCAGGGCCTCACTATGCAGCCCTGGCCACCTGGAGCTTTCTCTGTGTAGACCAGGCTGGCCTCAAACTCACAGATCCGCCTGCCTCTGTCTGCCGAGTGCTGGGATTAAAGGTGTGAGCCACTGCCTGGCAGGATCACTTATGTTTATCCATACAGGGTTCACAGCCTTTGCTAAGAGGCATGGATGCCGTGTAAGGACAAGCCTGAGTGGCCTGGGGCCTTGTTTCCCCTGCTCTTCAGTCACACAGTCTCTTTGCTAGGGATAGGACCCTTGCTTTCACTGGTAAGTTTAGGGGTCAGTCAGCCAGAGCTTCCTCTTCAGTCAGGACTGGGTGGCAACTCTGGCTTAGCACACTAGATGGAGTCCTTTAGGAGGCTGGAGTATATAGAATCGGTCTTAGTCCAGAAATACAATGGGATGAGACAGGAATTCATTATGATGGTCTGAATGGACTGGGATGAGAACGGCCGCTTTCCTGAAGTCACAGCATCTGTCTTACTCCTCACTGTTCAACGAAGAGCAAAGTCCTAAACACAGCTGCACCATGCTTTCTCCCTGAAATGATCTAACCATAGATACTTTCAAGTCATCAGGAAGGATCCCACAGGAGCTGTGATGAGTTGTAAAATCAATACCCCTGGTCTACACCCAGCAGGAAGACAAAATGCAAAGGGACAGGGAGCAGGTCAGAGGGAAGGCGCTCACACACACTAACACACCGCAGCAGGCAAACTGAAGAGCAGACGCAAATTCAGAAAGAGCACCGAATTTGATACAGTTGTTCAAAAGCAGAAAATAACATATTACATTAAAAAAGAGCCAGTGCGGTGGTACATGCAATCCCAGCACTTGGGAACCAGAGGTTGGTTGAGTTTGAGGCCAGCCTGGTCTACACAGTGAGTTCCAGGACAGCTAAGGATACAAAGAGAAACCCTGTCTCGAAAAATAAAACAAAAACAAACAAATAAGAACCAAAAATAATTTTGAAAATTTCTTCTGCATAATTCAAGGGTAAAGTAGAAACCTGAGTCCACAAGGGTGACTGTCTTTAAATTAGTTATTTGGTAATTGTGTCCTGTATATCTGTGATATGTTCAAAGCCATATTCACATGGGAATTTACACCTTAAAACATGCAATGGCAAGCTGGGAGCAAATACCTTTAATCTCAGCACTTGGGAGGCAGAGACAGTCTGATCCCTGAATTTGAGGCCAGCCTGGTCTACAAAGCGAGAATTTTAGGACAGCCAAGACTGTACAGAGAAACCCAGTCTCAAAAAAACCAAAACAATAACAACAAACACGCAATGGCTAAACATGAAAGAATCAAGACAAATGCTAGACATTCATCCAAGAAACCAGGAAAAGAGCAATCACATCGACTCAAGGAAACGAATGAAGCAGAGGCAGGGGGATCTCTGTGAGTTCAAGGACAGCCTGGTCTACAGAGCTAGTTCTGGGGTAGCCAGGGCTACACTGTGAAACCCTGGCTCAGACAACAACAGCAAAATAAAAAGAAAGAAAGGAATGAAGATGAGGTGGTAACTGACAGCCCCCTAGGAACTAACCTAGAGGCAGCCACTTTAGAAACCCCTACAAAGTAAAAGAGGGACACACACACACACACACACACACACACACACACACACACACACGTACTCTCTCACACACACGTTCACACACACACTCACACGCACACATACTCTCACAACGTACGTACACACACTCACACACGTGCATACTCACACACACACACACACACACACTCTCTCTCTCTCTCACACACACACACTACCATGGGGAGGTACACAAGGATGACAAAGAAACTGGAAACAGAATTTAAAGGAACAAGGGTTGCATTTTGTGTTTTTTCATTTTTTTTCATGTGTGTATACATGGCTTTATTTCATGTGTGTAAAGGTCATACATGTGTGTGGAAATGCATGCATCTGTGTGCATGTGGTCTATGAGGCCCAAGATTGATGCCAGAAATTACTCTTGATGTCTCCTCAGCCTTATTCCCTGAGGTACTATCTCTCAGCCAAACCCAGAGCTCACTGGTGTAGCTAACCTCCCTAGCCAGCTTGTTCTGGGGATCTTCTGCCTCTCACTGCCACATCCACTGGAATTTGGGGATTCAAGTTCCAGTCCTCATGCTTACTCATCAAGTATGTGGCCACTGAACCATCTTCCTGGTTCCTCTGGCTAAGATCAAAACAAAACACTGTATTCTGTAGAACAGGGTTCACCAAGGAGCCAAGCCCAGACTGGTAGCTGACTATAGGTTTAGAAGATGTGAGAAACTTCTCTTAAAAAAAAAAAAAAAAAAAAAAGAAAGAAAGAAAGAAAGACTGCAGAAACCAGGTTTGGCTTACATATCTATGATTCCAGCACATGGTGGGGGGGGGGGGGGCTGAGGCAGAAGGAGTTTAAATTTCGGTCCAGCCTGGGCTACACAGATATCTGATGAAGGCTCTGCCCACAAGTTTTTGCTAAAGGAACAGTTAAAAGAAAAGCCTCAGAGGGTGAAATGCAATTTGGGTTTTGCCAGGGCCCAGAAGACGCAGAGCAGCAGGACCCTGGGTTTATAACAGTTCATACAATCCGGTCCTGAGGTGAACTTCATGCTAAAGCCATTTCTTCACCACTGATGTAATTTTGCAGCAGGCCACTGGATGAGTGTGCCACTGTAATTACTAAGCGCGTAGAGCTGACAGCTTGTGCACGTGAGCTCTAGAGAGCAACTGCGACCACGGGAAGGTGGACTGGGGCCCCAGTTACCACCTCTTTTACTTTTGACTGTGGCTGGTCTTGAGCTCATGACCTCCCTGCCTGGGCCTTCTGAGTGCTGGGGTCATAGGCAGGAATTGCTGCTGCCAGCAAGGTAGGTTTTCCCCCAAGTCATTCACAGTGAATCAAATTTTCATCAGCAAGGCTGGGGATGTAGCTCAGTGGCAGAGCACTTAACTGGCATGCACAAAGCCCTGGGTTTGATAACTAGCATATAAACCAGAAGTACAATAATATAATAAAATATAAATGGGGGAAACCACACAAAAATTAAAGATATGCACAGTAAATCAATGAGATGTTTTACCTATCACCATTTTCTAATGAATATTTACTTTTTGTGGGGCTGTGGTCAAAGGGGGACTCTAATTCTCTGCTGTGAGAGTCTCTTCCAGCACTTCATAGCTTCACAGAGGAGGGCAGAGAGCAGTCTGTGGGAGACAGACACTGAGCTGCTGGCAGACGAGAGGAAACCCAGACGCCACCAACAGGCCACTGGAAGAAGGAAGAAATCAATGATGCCATTGTTCCATCTCTTCTAGGAATCAGGTTGCTAATGACCCCAGAGGCACAGCATGCCCTGTTGGGAGGAAAAGCAGGCTGTGTGCACACTGTGTACCTATAAGTCTAAGGATGAGGATGTGAGTTGACTGTAAATGAACACGGTGTACACATGGACCAGAAAGAGTGAACATATACATAACAGGAAAACAAAATGTGGATTAACTCCAGTTACTCATTTTTGTTTTCTTGTAATTCTTGTTTTGTGTGTGTGTGTGTGTGTGTGTTTTTATTTAGATGTGTTTGTCTATTTTATGTGTATGAGTGGTTTGCCTGCAGGTGTACACAAGCATGTCTGGTGCCTATGGGGTTAGGAGAGGGTGTTAGATACCCTAGAACTAAAGTTATAGATCATTGTGAGTCACCAAGTGGTGACCCAAACCCAGATTCTCTGCAAGAGCAACAAGTGCTCTATGTTGAGCCATAGCTCCTTGATTTAGTTTCTTATAGAAGGGTCTTACTCTGTAGCACAGTCTGGTCTTGGGCTCACAATGTTCCTGCATTAGTCTGTCTTGTGCTGGGTTAAAACATGAGGTATCAGGACTAGGGATGTATCTCAGTTAGTGTGGTGCTTGCCCAGCATGTGTGAAGCCCTGGCTTTGATCCTCAGCTAACAGAAAATCGGGTGTGTTAGTTCAAGCTGGTAACCCGTGGGTACCTGGGAGGTGGAGGCAGGAGGCTCAAGTTATTCTTGACTTGAGGTCAACCTGAGCTATATGAGACCTTGTCTCAAAAACAAAATAAAGGGCCTGGAGAGATGGCTCAGCAGTTAAGAAAGAGCACTAGCTCATCTTCCAGAGGACCCAGGTTCAGTTCCCAGCACCCACATGGCAGCTCATAACTGTCTGTAACTCCAGTTCCAGGGGATCCGACACCTTCACACAGACACACATGTAGTCAAGACATTAATACACATAAAAATAAATAAATCTCCAAACAAACAGAGGTAGACATTACAGAAGGTAACAGGCAGCATTTTAAGAGGCAGGGACTGTTGCTGGGCTCTGGTTTGGGGGAGAGACAGCATTGGACAGAGGGGAGAGTGTAAGAGGGAAAAGGACACCAAATGGACATCAGCTTTGCCTGGCCTGTAGTGACAAGGTCTATTTGTGGATCCCTACATTTATATATTTATGTTTATATTCCCAGGGCTGGTCTTGGCCTCAATCCTGCAGTGGGCATTGAGATCTCCTAGCCACCTCTCCAGCCCAGGTCTTACACCACAGCCCAGGCTGACCTGGAATTTGTGATCCTTCTGTCTCAGCCTCTTGAGTGCTAGGGTTACAAGCACGAGCCACTATCCCCAGCTATTTTACATTTAAAACAAACAGACAAAAAGTCCTGGGACTGAAGAATCACTAGCTTCTTGCAGGGAATCAACTGAGTGTCTGTAGGCAATGCAGCACTATCTGGGGACGCCCACAGTGGGCTGGCTTGGAACTGCCCTATTACTTGCCTCACAGGACCTCAGCTGCTCCACGGCTGTTTCTTCCAGATGTGGTCAGAGCAGTGGGTCAAGGGACACCCAGTGCTGAGATGAAGCTCTGCTCTGTGCCTAAGGCGTCTGGTTGGCTCCACTCCACCACCAGTGGCCTCTGTGAAGCCAGCCTGTGGCTCTCCTTCTGGCTCTGCGAGCCAGGAAGCTGCTTTCTTTTGGCCTCCTGTGGCAGGCAGGCAGGCAGAACCATGGCACCACCTTCCCTCCCCATTGGCATCGCCGCAGCTGTGGCCTGGCCCACCACCTTTCCCAGGTACTTACCTTTGCGGTGGCCCAGCTCTGCTCGGAGTCTATTCCCCATTTCCAGAAGCTGCTCCCTCTCTAGGCTGAGGCTGTGTATTTTCCTAGCTGCGTTCTTTAGCTTCTTTTGCAGATGTGGCACAGATAGGGTCTGTGGAGGCTGTGCCCCTTCCTGCAGGAGACTAGTGAACTCTGTCTGGTCCGCTGTGACCATGGGTCTCCAGTCAGTCAGGCCCTGTACACAAAGCCCAACCAAGAGACAGCCCTGAGGGACACTTCAGAGAGCCTGCTGGACACCATGCAGGCTGGGAGCTGGTGGGGTAGCTTGTTGTATGGCCCAGCAAGCTGCTCACCTGCCCTCTCAGAATCACCATGGCTGGGGGGGGGGGTGCTCCCTGGTGAAAGGGTGACTATTCCCCACACTTTAACTGAGATGGGGGTTGGGAACAGCACCCAGGCTTCAGTGAGCTGCTTCTGTCCCAGGAAGGGGGAGGGGTGCATCATCTCCGCCTCCGCCTCCCTACTCTAAAGTCCTGTAAAGTCCAGAACTTTCCTTTTCCCCCATGAGCCCCTGCAGAGCAAGCTCTGTGTCTTTCACACTCATCTGCTTTTGGCTTTGCTTCGGAAGAAAGAAAGGCCTGCCTCCCATCAGCCTCTAGCAGTACCCTAGGCCTGGGAAGCCTGGGCCCTGTGTGGACACAGAGCCCTGTGGCCCAGCCATTTCTCACCGCTATGGCCCACTCTGCTGCCCTCTGACCTGTGCTGACTGGATCTTCCTAATGACCTCCCCCGTTGTTCCTCCTTCTCCCCTTCTTTCACTCCCCTCTGGCTCACCCCCTCACCACTTGCCTGTTAGAGTCCTCTTACCACCCTGTGGGGCGGCTGTGGTCTCCCTTCCCTGAGAAAGTACAGGAGAAAGCAAAGGCTTCTGGGAGGAGGTGCACTATGCCAGGGTCTGGAAGCACCATGTGCCCCTCACTCAGCCCAGCCTGGACTGGGGGCCAACCCATACACTGCAGAAATACAGTCTCAATGTAAGTGGATGTCTGTGATGAGAAGAGGGGCACGGGAGAGACCAGGTTCTGGCATGGCCCACCTCTTCTTGGCAGTTTTGAGAAGCCATGGCACTGCTCTTATTCTGGGAGCTAGAGCTCTGTGCCCTGGGACATCCTGCACGCCCGGCACTGGCTCCCTGGTCCTTGCCAGAGCTGGCATGTGCTCGTGCCCTCCGGGTGCTCCTGTTCCCCAGGTAGCCTGGAGTATGTGGGTGATTGCACCTGTAGGTGACTGCATCCAGGTGCTTCTGGCACATGCTGCAGGCCACAAGGGATGGAATGGCTCACAGAAAGACACAGCAGAGGCAGAACTCTGGGTCAAACTAGGTCCCATGGACCTACAGGACCAAGACAGGCACATACACAATAGTCAGAGAGCGCTGGCCTTACGGCACTACAGGCCCAAGCATCCCACATCTCAAGTGGCCTTAGAATACTAAGGAACTCAGGTCTTAAGGGAGGTGGGCTGACCTGGAGGGAGGCTCTGCCTTAGCCTCGTAGGAGATTCCTATCACTTCAAAGACTGTCCTGGAACTCTCTGTAGACCAGGCTGGCCTCAAACTCACAGAGATCTATCTATCTGCCTCTGGTGCCAGAGTTAAAGGTGTGCACCACCACTGCCAGCTGAAGACTGACCTCTGACAGAAGGTGAAAGGTGAGTTGGAGATGCTGTCTCAGACTCCTGCCCTTCTCACTGCCCACCTCTCTATACATATGCCTCTTCCTCAAGCCCTGGAGAGTGGGTGGGGACAACATGCTTCCAGCCTAGATGCTGCAGTCCTGCCCATTCCACGACTGTGGCACACTGCTGATCCTGGTGACCTCACCTGGCCTCCCAAGCACATCCCTCCAAGCTAGAGCCTTTTCCAGCACCCAGGACCCCAGAGTATGAATGTGCTGATGCCCTTGCCTATAGTTGGGAGGTCCCCAGGCCCCACTTATATTTCATGACACTGCCATATGAGGTGTTCAGAGGGGCAATCTGTAGCTGTCCTTCCGCTGGTTCTGTCTGAGACCACCTCTTCCTTAGGTTCGGGTTTTGTGCTTTGACCCCAAGAGTGAGTCTTGGGTGTGTTCCACATAGGCACAGACCCTAGTGTCCTGGTGCTGAAATTGGTTCAGATGGTGTCCTTAGGTTTCGACAATGAAAGAACTTTTTCACCTTGCAATCAAGGTCAAGAACTGTGATAGAGACTAGGGTACCTTGGTTCAGCAAGCTTCTGCCTTGTTTGAGTCCCACACCTACATTCAACTGCCTTGTCTGTCATGTCTACTCACTAGTGTTCTGATGGGGGAGTCACTACACATTTTCTTGTTTTAAATTATTGTTGTTATGTCTGTCTGTCCGGGCTGCTGTGCGTGTCTTGGTGTCCATGTTGTAGAGGACAACCTGTACAAGTTGGCTCTCTTCTTTTACCATGGAGGTTGCAGAGATCAAACTTGGGTCCTCAGGCTTGGCAGCAAGTGCCTTTCTGGCCTCTGTTTCTTCGTGTGTCTGTTCACCTGGCCCACATCACTTCAGGATTTCCTATAAACCTGGTGGATTTACTCTTTCCTGGCTGAGATGGTCAGTTACAGTCCCTCACAGCTGGCATCTGTACCCTTCTAATACATCCATTGGAAACTGGGATTGTTCAAGGAGCCCTGATCCTGGGGAATACAGCAAGAGATTCTGGAGCAAGCTTTGGATATGGGTGCTGGTGACCGCAAGGCCTCAGGACAGCGGGGAATAGGCGTGTGTGTGTCTCAGGACAGTGGGGAATAGGCGTGTGTGTGTGTGTGTGTGTGTGTGTGTGTGTCTCAGGACAGCGGGGAATAGGCGTGTGTGTCTCAGGACAGTGGGGAATAGGCGTGTGTGTGTGTGTGTCTCAGGACAGTGGGGAATAGGCGTGTGTGTGTGTGTGTGTGTGTGTGTGTGTGTGTGTGTGTCTCAGGACAGCGGGGAATAGGCGTGTGTGTGTGTGTGTGTCTCAGGATAGTGGGGAATAGGCATGTGTGTGTGTGTGTCTCAGGACTGCGGGGAATAGGCATGTGTGTGTGTGTGTGTGTCTCAGGACAGTGGGGAATAGGCGTGTGTGTGTCTCAGGACAGTGGGAAATAGGCATGTGTGTGTCTCAGGACAGCGGGGAATAGGCGTGTGTGTGTCTCACTATTTCTCTACACATCACTAAGGTTAGATGGCTGAGGGCAGCTCCAGCTTCCCTTGGAAGCACTAACTTCCTGGCCTCTCCTGCACACCTCACACTTGGTTTAGGTGGGGGACATGCTGCTGGGTAGTGGTTGCCAGCCTTGGGGCCTTGTTCAGAAGAGGGCCTGAGCTTCCTTGCTTCCTGACCTCAGAGTGTGCCAAAATCACAGGTACTAAGACCCAACAAGAACAGAGATACCTGAAAATTGTGTTTTACATATGTGACTGCTGAGGTCTAGGTCTACTGCTTCAATCTAGTCTTCCCCTATTTAAAATTTAGCATATATATTTAGTGCTGACCTACCTGCTCCCCCTGGACTGCTGGATTATAGGGAGGTCTGGGGTCCTGAGGAGGGCTAGGGAACAAGTACTGCTCATTTCTTCAATATTGGAACCCCAGGCTCCCTCAGCCCCCAATCCTGCCCTGTTTCTTTTTCTGCTTGTTCTTAGACATAGCCCATGCCAGAGGCCGTTGGCTATGCTCCTGTACTTGTAATATGGTACATACCATCGTCAACTTCTCAGCTGAATGCCTACGACCTCTGGTGATTAACAGGTCACCGTTGGCACCCACAGGTGGCCATGAGCCATTATAGGTCAGAACAGATAGCCAAAGGTGACTATAAGTCACTATTCTCACTGCGGGTCAACTGGCAGGGAGTCATATCACAGGTCACTCACTGTAGATCACAGCAGGCCAGTGCAGGGGCAGAAGGTCATCACAAGTCAGCACACAGCACCCCAGGTTCCAGCAGGACACAGCAGAGGAAACAGGGCTGTCACCCTTCCTATCCATGGTCCCACTGGGGCCTTAAGTGGGATGCAAGGTTTCTGTCATAGGATTTGATGGACTTCCAGCCCCGGCCACAGCGTTGACCAGACGTTAAGTGCTCTGTGGCCCTTCCTCCCACAGGCAGGCCAGGTCTGTGCACAGAACTCTCTTAGCCATCAACCCAGGAGAGATATGTAACCTCCCAGTGTGTTTCCTCAATCGAAGAGGGCATGGACCCCATTCCAGCGATAGTACAGCCGGCCAAAGAAAGAACTAGAGGTGTTAGAGGTGTGATCAAGCTTACAGAGGAAAACAGTGGATAAAAAGAGGAGGTGTCTGGGGAGTCACCTCTGGACACCAGCATCTGACCTCACAGATCAGGAATCCAGACACGTGACAGCAAGCATGTGACAGGCTAGGGTGGGAGAAAATGGTGGCACTCATGCATGTCCAGCACCCACCTGTCTCTGTAGCTGTTCCCTGTATGAAGGTTCTCCTTGGGCCCAGGCCATCTTGAGATGCTTCCTTAGCTCAGCCATCTGCTTCTGCAGCTCCAAAACCTCCAGGTGCACCTGGTCCACATCACTGGGGAGCTCATGCTGGACAGTGACCGACTCCAGGGGTTTCTGCCACAGCTAGTCAATCAGTTCAGAAGGCAGTGTTAGGAAGGGGTGGGGGACTGCACTAGGAGGGGCAGGAGGGGTAGGGGAGGAGCAAGGGCCATGGCTAGTTCCATCTCTGACTGGACACAGTGATCTGCAAACCTGCCCTGTTTGTTTCCCGTCTGTGCAGTCCATGCTAGACACGAAGGCTCACTGGGGAGAATTTGTGAATGAAAGTAGGTTACAATCCTATCCTGAGCCCTAGTTCCCAGGGAGACACAACTGCCTCTAGAACACTGCTTTGCTGGTGACTAGGAAGTCCTTTCTATCAAAACAGCAGATGCCAGGCTGGGCAAGGTGACAGGTGACAAATGCCTTTAGTCCCAGCACTTGGGAGGTAAAGGTAGGTGGATCCCGGAGAGTTCAAGGCCAGCCTGGTCTACAGAGCGAATTCCAGGACAGCCAGGGTTCTGTAGTGAGACCATCTCAAAAGACCAAACAAACGGGGAGGGGGTTTTTGCAGAAGGAGATAAGAGGGAAGTGAGCTTGAGGGGGGAAGCTACAAGAGGCAGGGATAGGCTGGGAATGTAGCTCAGTTGGAAGAACACTCACCTAGTATGCATGAAGCCCTGGGCTCAGTTGCCAACATCACATGGGAAACAGGGGCAGAAAGGTCAGAAATTCAGGGTTGTTCTCAGCTAGGGTGAGGTCGGTTTGGGCTACAAGAGAAACTGCTTTAAAGGAAACAAAGGGCAGTGAGATGGCTGGCTGCGGTGGGAATGAGGCTCAGGAAGAGAGGCTAGCTACAGGCCCTAGGCCGGGTAGGACGAGGACAAGGCAGAGGGAAATATGCTTCGTCATACTCCGGCTTCCCAGTCTAGGTGAAGAGAATTAAAAGAATGCTTCTACTCCAGGGATACCTACAGCTGACTTTTGTGACTATCTTATACACACAGAAGAAGGGACCATTAGGTAATCAGATACTTAAATAAAAAATGAAAAACACTTGAAGGTAAACCTGTTTTTATTTAGACAGGATCTCACTATGTAGCCCTGACTGGTGTGGAACTCACTCTGTGGACCAGGCTGGTCTGAATCTCACAGAGATCTGCCTCTGGCTACCTCCCAAGTGCTAGAATTAAAGGCATGTGTCATCAAACCTGACTGGAGGTAAATATTTTACTCAGTTTATTCCAACTGTCTCTAGTTATCAAAGTGAAATTAAAATGCTTTAAGTAAAATTCTTATTACTGGTCTACAGCATTGAAATGTGTGTGTCAATGTGTGTGTTCATGTGTGAGTAGGTGTGTATGTGTGTGTGCATTTGTTGTTGTTGCTACTGTTTTGAGATAGGATCTCCCAGACTGGCCTCCAACTCTCTCTGTAGCCATGGGTGACCTGGGATTCTTGATCTTCCTGAGTGCTGGGACTACAAACACACACCTACCACCATATCAGGCTTCCCTGTGAATAATTCATAGCCACACATGAGATAAACCAGCTACTCCACAGCACAGTCCTTTGTTCTGAAGAAAAGAGAACTTGGGAAGATACCCAAAACACCCAAGGTCAATGAGGTCATGCCTGGCACCTCTCAGGGCCTGCACCTGTGTCCAAATCTGAACTGGTTCTTCAGTAGGAATGCTTGCACAACCTTAAGTGGTAAGGGCTAATCTCACCTTCTTTTTGAGCTGTGTCATCAGCAAGTTCAAGAGATGCACTCTGTCTCCGAGTTTTCTGAGTGCTAATGCAATGGATACCTGGTCTGTCAAAGCTGCCCCTGCAGATGAGAACAGATGCTGTCAGCTCTGATCTCAGAAACAGAAACAGTTTCCCTGGGGAGTTGAGCCTTCTTGTCTACAGAGGCCTACTGAGCCTTCTAACTGACCTCGAGGTAAATATGTTCATCCCTGAATCAAAGGGTTGAGCCCCTAGAAAAACCAGAGATGCACCTACTATTTAGTGCAGCCTTATGGAGAGAGAGCAGAACGGAACCCAGCCTTACCATGTCAGATCAGTTTTCCTACAGAATCATTTATTTGGAAATTAAGGGAAAAAAAAAAAAAAGCTTACATAGCACCTGGGGCAAAGAAGAAGTAACATTTGATGTTCTAAGTTATTTTGAGCAGAATGGTAAAAACAACTTTAAGGAATGTATGTAAAGCTGTTCTGGCTCACAACTGTAAATCCCAGTTACTCCGGAGTCTGCAGAGTAAATTCAAGGCCAACAGGTGACTCCCCAAGGGAGGCGTTTTCCCCCTCTGAGGAGTGGATGGGGGGGGCGACAGAGAAGAGGTAAGAGGAACTGGGATTGGAATGTAAAAATAATTTTTTAAAAAAAGGTAACTGGCTGTGGGGGCTGGGGTAACTGGAAAGGTGCAAGTTGGGCGGTAGTGGTATGGTGGCCCACACCTTTAATCCCAGCACTTGGGTTGCACAGGCAGGCAGTCTCTGTGAGTTTGAGGCCAGCCTGGTCTATAGAGTTACACAGAGAATCCTTGTCTTAAAGCAAACAAGCAAAAAGAGAACTTGCTGTTCTTCCAGAGGACGAGGGTTTGGTTCCAGGCACCCACGTGGCAGTTCACAATCATCTGTGACCTCATTTCCTGGGACTCTGACACCTTTTTAAGCCTCTGCAGTCACCAGGCACACATGTAGGCAAAACACCCGTACATGTAAAACAACAAAAAGCAAAAAACAAAAAACAAAAAGCAACCACTAAAAACCAAAGTGAGGTGGCTAGAGCTAAGAGACAGAGAGCTGGCCAATGTGTGCCAGGCACCAGGTTTCATTCCTAGCACCGTATAAAAAAAAGAAAAAAACATTTATAGTGTTAGGTACATATCTTAGAAATAAGAGATCAATGTGTGAATCTAGAAGACAGAATAAAATTAACATTAAGTACTAAGAAAACATAAACTAACATTACAAAACCAATGACTGGCTTTTGTAAAGGTAATAAATGAAGAAATAAATAACTATAAACTCTGTGGTATGACATCAAGAAAGAATAAAAGATGACAGGCATGTTGGTGCACATTTTTAATCCCAGCTCTCAGGAGGCAGAGGTAAGCAGATCTCTGTGAGTTTGAGGTCAGCCTGGTCTACAGAGTGAGTGCCAGGACAACCAGGACTGTTACACAGAGAAAACCTGTCTCATGAAAAAAAAAAAAAAAAACAAATAATAAAAGAGAACAGAAACAAATGTCCTATATGATGCATGGGGAGATGTCTACGGACATTTAGGATCAGGATGGATGGTGCGGGAATACAGCTGCAGTCTCAGCTGCTCGGGAAGCTGAGGCAGGACACCACCACCTCAAAGAAGCAAATATGCAAAACCCACAGGATCAGGGGTTTCATCCCAGAGGTTTAAAACCTGAGGAAATGGATACTTTCTTAGTACAATGTAACAACCATACATAGAAAGGAAATATGGCCATGTGGAGATGGTGCACACCTTTAATCCCAGCTCAGGAGGCAGAGGCAGGTGGATTTGAGTGTGTGTTCTACATGAGTTCCAGGTCTGCCAGGGCTACACAGAGACACCCTATCTTAAAACAAAACAAAACAAAACAAAACCCCAAAAATAAAAACAAAAACAAAAAAACCCAAAAAACAAAAAACCAACCAAACAACAACAAAAAAACCCCAATACATATGAACAGCCCCTTAACAACAAATAAACAAATTAAATTTCAAATCTTGCTACAAGGAAAACCCTGGGCCCTGGGGATTTCAAAGAATTCTACAAATTGTTTAGTTGTCTGGTCACTCATATCTCTAAGACCAGAGTAACCCTGGCTCCAAACTATGACCTGATCATTACAGAAAAGGAAATGAAATGGCAAGCCTGACTTGCTTCTGACCACAGATCTGGCAGTTCTCCATGAAACACTGGCAAGCCAGGCGCAGCAGCCATCAGGAAGCTGCGCCAGTTCCTGGGTCCCTTCCCAGGAAAGGATGGAGTGACAGAACAGAGAGTGCACCCACCCTGTTTCCTCACTAGTCACAATCCAGCACACAGAAGACTTTGGGAGGTGAGGGATGGGGGCCGGGATGACCCACGTGAGCCCCCATCCTTCCTCCCTCAGGTGCTAGGGGAATGCACACGGCACCACACACACTCCTTCACACTGAAGAATGGACAGAAGGCCCAAGGCAAGCCCGTTCCGGGAAAGGTGCCTGTCTCTGTGCTCCGGCTCCCTCCCCACATCAGCTCTGCACTAGGGACAGACACTCCTGGGCAGGGCCTGTAGATAGAAATCTGTGGAAAGCTCTGAGGGGCCCAGGGACAAAAGTCTGTGACTTGACAGTTGACTGCTGCTCAGAACTCCAGGGTCTCTCCGAGGCCACGAGTGGCCACCATCATCTATTTAAGGCCAGTCTGGAGCAGTTCACTGTAGAGGTTTGAATGATGATGTCCCTCATGGGCTCAGATGTTTGAATGTTTGGTCCCCAGTCGGTGGTATTGTTTGGGGATGTTAGGATACATGGCCCTGTTGGAGGAGGCATGTCGCTGGAGGCCAAGAACACCAAACCACTTTCCGTTCACCCTCCATCACTTTGTGCTGTGGTTTGAGAGGTGAGTCCTCAGCGCCCTGTTCCAGTCGCCATGCCTGTCTATTACCTTAGCCTTGTCTTCACGTTCTATAAGTTGCCTAATTCATGATGTTTTTGTCACAGCAACAGAAAAGTAACTAATACATTCTCTGTGGCTGCTGGGCAGACAAGATTCCAGAAGCCCAGGAAAGATGTTCATGCTTAGCAGTGCACTGGAGACTACAAATTCACACTGTAACGGGGTGTGCCACATAGCCTCTAGGATTGCTAACCAGGAAGAAAGATATATACACTGAGGGGCTGTCCTGCAAACTGCTGATGGAGGGCCAATGGCATAAGCACTGTGAAGTCTGGCTGTCCACTAAAACACAATGTAGGCCCAAAGATAACAGACAAATGCACATGTGCCGCATCATTCCACTTACATGAGAAAGCAGAACTCCCACCTAACACTGGGGATTTCCAGGGAACTCCTGGTTCTGGAGGCAGCGTGTCTGATGACGAACACTGGAGCTATGCATGCATTTGGAAGACTTGCCTCAGCGATTACATCTTGATTTTCTCATACTCAGTGATACTGGGACAGGGCATAAGGTTCAGGTAGCCAGGGGTTCTCACCAGCTCCTCCTGCAGAGCTGCAGGCGCCAGGGCGTGGGTGTGGGTCAGCAGCCGGCAAAGGTGCCTTCGCTGGCTCCTCGACACCTCCCCGCTGCTCTTCCAGTGCTTTCAATTTGTGCTTTAGGGTTTGCACTTCTGCTTCGAGAGCCAGAACAAGATCTGCCAGGGAACACGACACACACTCAGTGGCACACTTATACCACTTTCCCGCTGCCGTGCACAGCTGCAGCGCTGGAAGGCCCTGCCCAGCCCCCACCTCTCTCCCTAATACTCAGGGTCTACCTCCACTTCCCAGCCTAGCCTCCATGTCTTCCAGGAAGGTCTGGGGCTCGGAGTGAGAACTTGCCTGCCTCCCACCGGCTTTGTGCATGGATGAAACAACTCCCACATCAGGGATCAGACCCTATGGTGCCTGCTCAGAACAGGGCACAGCAGTGCAGATGCACTGCAGGGTGCCCCTCTTGAGAAGGCCTGCCCTGCAGCCCTGCTCCAGTGCCTCATTCTGCCCAGCCGTCTGGCTTGCCAGGTTTGTCAAATATGTGCCCTGCACTTTTCCCTCTATGCCACCAAAGAAACATTCTTCAGTATGAAATGAAACTTAAGCTTCTCTCTGGGAGGACAAGCAACTGTCCTGCTTTGCAGAGGTCTACTAGAGGGTGTGTTAGTGTGAGAATGTAATGAGGAGCCTGTCCAGGGGTCCTCTCCCTGTCCTGTCCTGTCCTGCTCCTACTCTCCATCACCCAGACCTCATTACTCTTCCTCTCCATCTCTACCTGCTCACCTGGGGGGGCTGAGTCTCCTCCAGCCTTGGCACCAGGGTTTGTACCTGGGCACTCTTCTGGGTGAGCAGAAGGGACATGGCCACTCAGCATCTCCATCTCTCTCCTCATCTGTGAAACAGCATTCCGCAGACCTGCGTTCTGTTCCTGTAGCCTCTGGATCTCACTGGACAGGAGGTCTTTCCCCATTTCTCCTTCACGCTGCTGTGGAGGTACCTGCCAACCACACACACCAAAGGAAAATAATTATGGACACAAAGGAGGAGGTTCTCTGCTTCAACCCAGCCTGTCCTCCAGAACTGCAATGTGTTGTAGGACACTATCCTCTGAGTGTGACAGTCACCATCTTTACCAGAAAAGCTGCTATTGTTTGCAAGATGATGGGAGATGTCATTCTGTAAATATCTTTCTCATACTGGTTAATGAATAAAGCACTGTTGGCCAATAGGAAAGCAAGATAGGCGGGACTAGGAGACAAGGAGGAGAGAGGAAGGAGTAGGGAGGGTCAAGATGGAGAGTCTGGAGAGAGCAGGACGCCAGCTGGCTCTCTGGTGGTAAGATGAAACCATGTGGAAATACATAGATCAACAGAAATGGGTTAATACTTAAGACAGAGCTACCTGATAAGAAACAAGTAACTGGCCAAGAGCATTATATCAAATACAGAGTCTCGGTGTGTTAATTGGGGCAGGCGTGGCAGTGGGACAAGACCAGCGGCGGGAGAAAAACCTTACTCCTTACAGCAAGAGATCCCCCCAAGACCAGGCTTGTTGGCTGCTGACATCCCTCTCCCTCTTCCCTCCCCCCACAGGTGGGAACAGAAGGGTCTCTGGGCTCATCTGACATTCTGCCACCCCCCCCCAATGCATCTCCAATACACCAGGATGCAATCTTGCCCTAACTGCATGCAACCTCATGGTCTAGAGATGTATGTGTCAGAGTATATACTGCCCATGGAGGGTTAACTGAAGGCAGGGGGTCTATCTTTATTGCTATGGGAACTCACTGTCTAAACTGGTACTATGATTGCTGTGGAGTTCCCTGTGTTCATGTAAGTAGCCCCTCATCCATGGTCTGTAAGTAAGCCCAATAAACTCTTTGGTTCTCCAAACTGGGCACTTTGATTTGTTACCAGGCACTATTTGGAGCAGGTAGATGCTTGGCTATGTCTTCCTGGAAAAAGTTCCTACAACACAATGGCCCTCTGACCCAAAAGTATATTCCTTGAGAGGCATATAGATGTGAGGCACTCCATGATAGGGTCTTTAAAAAAATGTTATTATTGCTTCTTTTTCTTTCTCCCTTTTTTAAATGATAGGGTCTTTCAGTAGCTGAATTCATCAAGACAGACATGGGTCACAGGGGCTAGGAACGAGGAAGGATGCTGAAGAAACTGTAGAGGTGAATGGTGGTCCAGTTACATGCCCGCATTTGGTGCACCAGAGGCTTTGTGAATTTCATGCAGTTTTAGTACAGTCAGACAATTCACTGAGCAGAGTACAACCAAAAGCAGAGAGACGAGAAGGAACTACAGTTGCAACAGAAAGCATCCAAACAGATCAGACAGCAGAGCTCCCGAGGCCTGGGGACAACATGAGGTGTGGGCAAACGCACACTCAGAACAAGAAGGGATTCTCTTGGTCATAAGCCAAGCAAGACCCAGCACAGAGGTCCTAGCTGACCTTCCGAGGAAGAGGCATAAATGTGTCCAACGCCACGTCTTATCTTAAAAAAACATTTATTTTCATATTATGTGCATGAGTGCTCTGACTGCAAGTGTGTGTGACACTTCTGTGCTGAGGGCCTGGGACTGGAGTTACAGGTGGTTGTGTGCGGCCACGTGGTCCTCTGCAAGAGTGCGTTCAAGTGCTGGGCCATCTCTCCAGCCGCCCTCACCCCCACCCGATCACAGAAGTTTAATTATGGTTGTGAACAATCTAACAACTTGGTAAGAAAATGATTCAGAGAAGGGCAGGTCTCCCATGTATATCAGCCAGCCATGGTGCATCAGGTTGCAATGAGAGTAGGGGGAGGAAGAGTCGGGGGAGGGGCAGGGAGGAGAGGAGGAGGGAGGGTAAACTGATCAGGCTGGCAAAAAGTTAATTAATTAATAAAAAAGTAAAAAAAAAAAAAGAAAGAAAAGAAAACGGTTCAGTAAATTAAAGCTTTTCATGCAACATATCCATTTAGGTTACATTTCTGAGAAATTTCTGTGTGGTAAAAGTATTTGTGGTACAGTTTAAGGAAAAGATGAGTTTTCTAGTAAAATGCTCAACCCTGCCCCATCCATTTACAGCCCTGCCACACATGTAGATTTCAGGCAAAAGTACTGTTAGGGCATGCCTCCCTCCAGTGACAAGTGCAGAATTCCCAAGGCTGAGATGACCTGAGCTGCGTCTGTTCTAGACCTGAGTGATTTCAAAGACTGTTGCTAACTACAGCCACCTTCCCATCTTTAAAAATCACATTCTACACAGAATGTGTGTGTGTGTGTGTGTGTGTGTGTGTGTGTGTGTGTCTATACACGAAAGGGCCACAGCCTGCATATGGAAGTCAGAGGAAAACTTGTGAGAGATGAGTTGGTCCTCTCTTCCCACAATGGGGTCCTGGGGATCAAACTCAGATCCCAGGGCTTTACAGCAAGCACCCTTAGCCAGTGAGCCATCTCAATAGCCCAGCTACCAGTGTTTTTTTTTTTTTTTTTTTTTTTTTTTTTCAAAGTCACTGTAAGCTGCTGCTTTAATCTTAGAACAAAACTATCATTTCTCTTAACCTGAGCCCTGGCTTGCCAATGCTTTTCTACAGCCAGGCTGATTGGATGTGTGGCCTGTGATTGATAGCCTTCCAGCCCCACCTCCTGTGATTTCACCCCAGCTCTTACACTCTGGATCAGAGGGGCCAGCTCAGTTTTCTGCAGCACCCAGCCTCCCCTCTATTAAGACTGTGGAGATTCCCCTTCTGGCAATGGATAGCATGGCAGCCAGGCCAGGACACCGGGGGAAAACTCCTTGGAAGCCTGGTCGCCTCTATTCTACCTCACATCTGTGACACCAAGTTGGCTAAGAGCCTCTTCTGGCTTCAGGCTGGCTGCATATTCTCGCTCTCTGGGTCCCCCAGGTGACTCTGGAGCACAAGGCCACCCTTCTGATCTGCCCTAGACTATGAGTAAGGCCCACATCACAGGTGACAGACAGGAGCCTGTGAGATGGACATGTCACATACAGTCAAGCCCAGTCTGCTGAGGAAGCCTGTGGCAAGTTTGGTGCCAGCCTCCACAGCATGGGCTACTGGCCCATCCAGAGGTAGACCCCAGGTGCTCCTAGTGGGGCCTGCCGAAGGTCCTACTCCATAACTCTCAGGCATCGATCACCATTTAGAGCAAGCTAGAAAACCCCTATCATTCAATTCAAACTTCTAGGCAATGTGGCCGGCCAGTCAGGAGCTTTTCCCAGTGAGTTCTGGCCCATCACTCTACTCTGAAGCTGTACCTAGGTTTGTGCACGCAGACAGATTCTGGAGGACTGTGGTGGTCACTCTGGTTACTGGGTTTCAGCCAGATACTTTGTCCAAGATCAAGGCTGCACTTAAGGGAGTGGGTGGGTGTGGACTGTTCCTGACTACAGAGCACACTTCTGAAGTTTATTGTTTACTTAACAAAGAAACCAGCCAACTGATAGCCCTTGCTGACCTGCTTAGCTGGTACTTGGAGACAAACGCCTTTTTTTGATTGCCAGCTTAGGGGAAAAGTACAAGAAAGCTTCCAGTAAGGGACCATTGATGAAAGCAAGCACTTTTTCCTTCTGTCATCTGTCTATAGCTTTTCCTGTGTTCATATAAGGTCTCAGGAAAGCCTGTGGGGTGAGAGGCAATGGGTGCCAATGTATATGCACTCCTCATCCTCTTCTGCTTCTTGAAATCTGCCTACTTGTAGCAGAACAGCAACTGCCTGGGTGTCCTTGGTGTTCAATCTCTAGGGCATCTTGCCTCACAAGCCCAAGGAAGGGTCAGAAGTATCTGTTCAGCTGGAACCTCCAGCTCACCTCTGCACTATCCAGAAACTCCCAGTCTTCTCCCTCTCGAAACCCTGCCCACTCAGAGAGTCTCTGAACAAAGGAAAGGTGCCAAAAGCTCAGTTCTGCATCCCTCTTTAAAAAACAATTTATTTTTATTTTATAAGCATTGACCAGTGTTTTGTCTGCATGTGTGAGGTGTCAGATCTTTTGGAATTGGAGTTACAGACAGTTGTAAGCTCCCATGTGGGCTCTGGGAATTGAACCCTGATCCTCTGGAAGAGCAGCCAGCATTCTTAACTATTGAGCCCTCTCTCCAGTCACCCAGTTCTGAATTCTTGGCAATTATTGCAACTTCCTCCCCTGTTACTGACAGCGACCCAAACCCCCACTTTTGACCATACTTGGGCACAAAATCAGCTTGTGGCAAACACGTCATCACCCTTTGCATACAACCTATAAAGTCTCCCTGCTTTATTTTGGGGGGTGCAGCTTCTCCAACCTTGATATCTGGGACCAAAGAACTCACCTGGGAGTGCTTTGCTCAAATAAACCTGTTATTCTAATTTTTCAGTTTGGCTTGACCTGGCTTACTGCGTCAGCAGAGAAACTTATTATCTGGAGGCAGAAAACCTATTAGTATCTTCAACCAACTTTCCTGCCATGGGGCAAGTTTGGGAACTGCAGAGTGTACTGAAGAGGAGAAATGTGTTTTCTTGGCAATCTGCTGCTCAGATCCTGTATGCCCCAACCAGCCCAGACATGGTCACAGGACTTTTAAACCAGGCTGAACTCTCTTTTTAAGATTTATTTTAATTGTGTGTGTGTGTGTATGTGTGTGTATCTGTGAATACAGCTGTACATGTATGTTAGTACTGGTGCCCTCTGGGGCCAGAGGTATCACATCCCAGGAAGGTGGAGTTATAGGCAGTTATAGGCTGCCCAATGTGGGTGCTGATAATTGAACTCTGTAAGAGCAGTTTGTGCTCTTAACCACTGAGCTAACTTTTCACGCTGAACTTTCAAAGTGTTTGAATTTGTAAGACTTGGGGACTTTTTAAGTTTGTAAAATGTTTTATTTTGTGATGTTTATATTAATGTTTGATCTTGAGGATGAACAAGGAACAAGGTTTTTGGCTTAACAGTGATGTGTTTGTGTGTCACACTGACAACGGTTAGTCGTGCTGGCTAGTTTTATTTCAACTA